GGGGGACATTGGGTATGATGGCGTTTGTCTTCCCAAGTAACCGTTAAGCATAATGGAGCCCTGCTTTCCTGGAGATGGCTGAACACCTGCTTGCCGATGGAAAGTAGTGAATAAATTCCTTGTTTTGCTTTGTTTGCGTGCACGGTTTTTGCTTTGCCTATTTAACTGTTCTATTTTATTTTACTTCAATTATTAAACTGTTCTTATCTCAACCCACGAGTTTTCTCCCTTTTACCCTTCTGATTCTCTCCCCCATCCCACTGGTGGGGAGTGAGCGAGCGGCTGCGTGGTGCTTAGTTGCTGGCTGGGGTTAAACCACGACAATCAGTCAAGGTTGTAAAGGATTGGTGTTTCATAAAGCAACCTCTTCCCAGCAGGCTCCTTTGTGGGACAGACACAAAGCACACCTACAAGCAGCAACAGTTATCTTCTTGTTCGTTTAACTGGTCCTTAACTAGGAAGCCCTCCTTCCATCCCGATGCTCAGAACTACCCCACGCTGCTCAGACTTGCCCTACGCTGCTGGAGAGAAGAAATACAGGGTGGTCCTCCTGCAGTCCCCTGCTCCAGGAGAGGGAGGGCTCCCTATGCATTAAGGTAGAGAAGAGGCTTGTTACAAAAACCCTCCCTCTCTGCCTCAAACCACCTCATTGCATAAACCGTGATTAGCCTCTGCTGCAGGATGGCGGTGTAAGAAGGAGCAGCTTTAAATCTGCTGTCACCATCCCCACAAACGTTCCCCACCCCTGCTGCCCCTGGCCCCTGCGCAGGTCACTCTCGCTTGCACGGAGGAGCTGGAGGCTTTTCTTTCATCCTTTTTTGGGAGATGAATTCTTTCCCAGCTCACTGCTAAGCCCCTGGTTCAACAACATGTATTTTTTTCCACTTGGCCCCGGCTCTTTTACATCACTCACCGCTGCGGGACCTGCCAGGACTGCCCTGGCTGTGTCACTGCCACTTATCAGCATCACTCCCAGCCTCTTTGCCTTCCAGGCTCTCAAAACATCTCCGACAGAGGCGCAGACCCTTGCGTAGCACATCTAAGCCCCGATGGCCCTAGACTTGCTTTTCCCCATCACCGCATGCACGTCCTGAGGCAGCTACCCCCAGTCCTGCTGGGTCCTCATGCCACAGTCTGAAACACAGAGGTCCTGCAGGTTTTTCTCTTGTATTTAGCAAGATTGGTAAACACTGGTACCACACACAGCTGCGGGGCCGAGACCTCTGCCAGGGATGGGGACATCTGCAGAGCTTCAACAGGGAGGACGGGGAGGATACAGGCTCTCCTGACAGCACAGGGTAGGGATGCTCCCAGGCTGAGCCCCAGGAAGCCCAGAGGGCCCCCATCCTCCCTGAGTGGAAAGGGCCTTTCCCAAGAGCTGCAGAGCTCACTTCATAGCCTGCGTTTACATCCCAGCCTGTGACATGGGAAAAGCATTTAAAGAGATGCTTAAAATTAAGTACATCATTAAGTCTCGGGTCTGTGCACTACTTAGGGATTCCCAGGCACTATGGCAATAAAAACAGACAAGCCCCATCAACAGCGGCCCCACAACAGCTACTCATGGGGGGTCTGAGAGCTCTCCGCACCACGCACACCTCTGCACGCTGCCCCCAAGCCCTGCTGGGGCATCAGCCATAGCGATGTACCACCCAGCCATGCGACTTTGGAGCCCTGGTTTGCTCAGGGCACAGGCAGGCAGGCAGCCCCCGACGTCCCACATTGTATCTGAGGACAAGTGAGAAATGTGATCACGAAAGAAGTGATTTTTGGCCAAGGACTCAAGACGGGGAGCAGGGAGGAGAAATCCCTGCTCCTCCACTGCTTGCTCAGAACAGAAACCAACTTTTGCTAGAGCTCAAAAATGCTGCAAATCATTAAAGCATTAGTTCATCCTCCTTCCCTGCAGGGACAGGCCATTCACATGGAGCTCCCCCAGCCCCACACCGTATGCAAAGTGCCCCGTGGTGCGTCTGTTATCTCAATGAGCGCGTCTAACCCCGCGTGCCGGTGCGTGCACGGCAGCTGTCTGCGGAGCTGTGCGGCCAGCAACGTTGGGGCATGCGGCCAGGCACCTTCTCCCAATGCTGCAATTGCAAGTTTGGGCACCCTGGGGACTTGCAGGTGAGCAATCACATGCCCTCGGGTCCAGGGGATGTGTCCCATCGCTCGACTCACACAAAACGGTGCTACCATGAAGCCTGGGTGAGCCACAAGGAACTTGTGCATCATGCTCCCAAGGGCAGGTCCAGCCCCAGCAGCATCTCATCGGTGGGATTTTGCCTCCTCTTCCCCAGTCTCCCTTCCAGACACTCTCGCAAGCATCTTCTGCAGTCCCACCTCAGTCCCTTGCTCCCACGTTCAGCGCCCTTTTGGTCCATATCCCATCCGGGGTGGAAGCCCGTGTCACAGCTCTTCTTGCAGCATCTTCCCCTTCTTGCTGGCCCTGAACCTAACCAGCCGCTTCACCCAGCGGGACCTCGGCCAAGCCGAATTATTTTTAAATTCCTGCCTGGCAGTAACCCACAGCACACCAGGTGATTCATGGACTCCGGCAGGCAAGCCAGAGGGCAAACTGTCCCTCTGACACACCAGGTTTCTATTCCTGCTTCCCTTCCATTTCCATCTTATCTTCAGATGTGCTCTTCAGTAGGTACAAGTCAAGCTCCAAAAATGCCGGGGAAAGAGCCAGCACCGTGGTCACCTGGTCCCGAAACACACTGGGGCAGTACATACGTCTGGTGGGTTACTCTTGATATTTGCCCTGCTCTAATCCACCCTGATCTTTCCCTCAATTAGCCCCTGGAAGAGATTAAACTCTCACGTTGCCTAATGAGCTTATGTGTTGGGTCCACTCCTTTCCAGCACTGTCCCTCTGCCTGAGCCTGGCAAGAGCAGGACAAGCTGTTCTCTCCTCCCAGCGATGCAGCCAGACGTTCAGCTAGGTGAACGTGACTTTTTCAGCCTCTCTCCTTGCTTTTTCTCCTGCCTTCTTGAAAAACTCACTGCTTTTGCCCATCGTGGTCCTGCCTGGGGTAAAATAAGTGTCTAATTTTCTTGTGTGCTTCGATGCCTTGCAAACTGGGGCCATATTGCTTGAGCAGGAGATTAAAAAGCAGAGGCTTGTGCCTGCAGTGTCATTATTTTGGTTTGGGATTTGCTTTTTTGTTCAAAGCTCACATTTTGCTCTGGGCTCACTACAAAAATAAAAGAAGAGATCCACCCATGGTAGATGTGGGCAAAACTTAGTCCTTCTTGGCCAGAGAGGGATAGAAATTTTCCACCCAATACCGAGACATGAAGCAGTTGCTGTTAAGAGTGATCCAAAAATATTACCCAACCGTGGCCACATCTGGGGGCTATTTTCATACATTCCCTGTCTCTTTTTTTTTTGTTTTTTTGGTGATCCATCTTCATGACACACGTGGTCAGGTGCGTGGGCAGGGGCGAAATCAGGCACATCGAGCCATGAGCGGCCATTTTAATGCAAAGGCACCGGCATGTGGATGAGAGGATAAAGCAGATCGAGTCGATCTGGCAAACACTGTGTTGGTATGAAATAATGACGGGAGACATGTTTTGAGACCACAAGTGAAACCACACAATCTCATAATGGCGGCACCTTGCCCAGATGCCCATGTGCGCATCAGGCCAGCTGTTACCTGCTGTCTTTGGTAGGCGGAGAACGTCCTTTCCAGGTCTTCAAGGTCCAGGATTTTGAACACTTTTGTATCATCTATGTCGGTCCACACGGTGCCTGCCAGCTTGTTCTGCAAGACAGTGGGAGCATTGCAGGTTGGGGTTCCCCTGCTCACCTGCCCTTACATCACCAGGTGGCCATCTGGCACCTCCAGTTTCACTGCCCGAATTATTGCCCAGCTTACCTCTGGCAGCTTGGACCAGTTGAAGGACTTGAGGGCATTCGTCGGCTGTGGGATGCTCTTCTTCTTGAGGGCCAAGCCCAGAGGTGCTCCGGGGGGAGGCATCACCCCATACATCCCCCTGGGGGCGGTGGTGGTGGTGGAGGGGGAAGAAGAGATCCGGGAGCTGGAGAAGGTAAAGGGCCACCAGGAGCTCCTGGTGGCAAGGGAGGTCCTCCGGGGCCAGCAGCACAGATCGCCCTCTGAGAGAGAAAGAGGAGGGGGGACTGGTCATACGGAGCTGGGGGACACCACCCAAGAAACACTCCCATCCCTATTTTTAATTATTGTGGCCAAAATTTAACCAGCACAGGAAGCACTCAAAGGCTTCAGCACTCCTGACTGAAGTCCAATGCATCTGGAGAGGCAAAATCACTCCAACACCAGGGACAGACATCTTGGTGGCCTGCCCAACAAGCACCTTTCTCAGCCCCCTGTGCAGCTCAGCCTCCAGAAATCACCCCATGGTGTTTGCAGGGGGGTTGGGACTGGGCCACAATGGGGAGGAGGTTCAGGGCCTCACCCTGCTCATCTCGTGGAGCTGTGCCGTGAGATCCGCCACCTGCTGCTTGACCTGCTTGTGCTCGCTGGACTCCTTCTCCAGCTTCTCCTTCATCTTGTTCAGTGTCTGCATCATTTCTTCCTTCTCCTGGGTCTTGGCGTCACACTCCCGCTCCTTCTTCTCCAGCTTCTGCTGAAGCTCGCTGTGCTCTGAAACAGCCCCACAAGACCACTTTTGGGTGACAAACACTCCCTTTTGGCAAACGGCAGCAGGTGGGGGACTAACCCCCATGCTGCCCTGCGAAGAAGCAGCGCAGTTAAGAAAAGGGAGCGTGTGCTGTGCCTTAATGGCCCAGCCAGGGTTTCCCCGTGAAAAAAGGAATATCTGCTTTGGCTGTTTCCCTTGTGAGCCCCATGGCGAGACATTATCTTAGCCACTCAATAAAGCCTGTAGAGTCCGTCCAGCTAAATACATGTATACATTATCTGTTTAGTTTACTGTGCTCTCTAAGGTTAAAGTTAACGCTGTCTCTCTCTCCATCACTCACCTTTTCGCATTTTTTCTGCTTGTTCTTTCCACTGTTTCACTTCATTTTCATTGACTAACCTAAAAGGAAAAGACAAGTAGTGCAATGAGACAATCCTACTGCAGTAAACAAGCGGCCATCACCAGCAAGAAACACAACTGAACAAGCCTGGGCAGTGGGATTTAAGGCTCCCAAACTGGTATTTCCAACACCTCTGCTCTGCCTCCCCCCTGGCAGGGTTTTGCAGACTGGGATGCAGCACCGTCTCAACAGCCCCAGGGATGCTGGCTTGTCCAACCGAGGAGCAGAAACATCACTGGGTGACAGTAGGTGATGAATAAGGAACAGTGACAGCAGCAGTCAGGGGAAATAGCTCACCGAGGACACAGAGCTTGAGCTTAATACACCTGCACATCGTGCTCAAGAGGTTGAAGCAATGGCAGCTTGGCAGGGACAACCCCCAGCCCCGGCCCTCTCGCCTGCCGGAGCGGGAGGCAGCCGTGGTGTCCCATGCCAGTGCCGCTCAGCAGCCAGCCCCAGGAAAGGCGGGTGAGCACTTACATTCGGACGACGTTTTTAATATTGAAGTTTTCCAGGGGAGTGGCATCGGGGTCCTGCCCTTTGTCACTCTGGATGACGATCTGCTGCACGATCCTGTCGAGCAGCAGCCAGTACTGAACAGTGTTGCCGCTTCTTTTATCTGGAGGGGAAAAGGGGAGAGACTGAGGGGCGCAGCAGGGAGGTCGCTACCACCCCTGGGGAGGAGGTGTGGGCTGCCAAGTCCCCCGCAGCCACGGGTTTCCTCGCCTCCCCTGGGACTCACAAGGCATTTGGAGACAGTGGTGCAGGATAGACATAAAGTGCGGGTATGCCTCGGTGTGTGTCAGCCTCTTCCTCGTCAGCTCAAACATCTGAGTCGCACTTTTGGTGTCGATGTGGACCTGCGGACAGGAGCGAAGCAAGGTCAGGCCATTGGCCTGGCGATGGCACTGCCTGTTTCCCGAGTCTCAGCTCCAAACCCCACGAGTCATGCCCACCCCACGCCTGATGGACAGACAACCCCCACTGCCCTGCAAGGGGCAAAGAGTTCTGGTCAGCAGCCAGGGATGAAGCAGGCTGTAGGATGAAGCAGGCTGTATGATGGAGGCCACAACGGAGCAGGGCAACAGGAGACAGATTTCCAACCTCTAAATTTTATCCAAAAGACTGCACTTCGTCCCAGGCCATGTAGGTGCTTTTAAAAGGAACCCTGACATTGAGTGCTGGTGTCTGCATCAGGAATGTTTGTACTCACCAGCTCAAATCTTTTGGCAAATTCCAGTTCGTCTTCATTTCTAAGCATTTCGAAAAAATCTAAATGCCTGAGGAAAGAAAGGGGGGGGGGGGGGGGGGGGGGGGGGGGGGGGGGGGGGGGGGGGGGGGGGGGGGGGGGGGGGGGGGGGGGGGGGGGGGGGGGGGGGGGGGGGGGGGGGGGGGGGGGGGGGGGGGGGGGGGGGGGGGGGGGGGGGGGGGGGGGGGGGGGGGGGGGGGGGGGGGGGGGGGGGGGGGGGGGGGGGGGGGGGGGGGGGGGGGGGGGGGGGGGGGGGGGGGGGGGGGGGGGGGGGGGAAAGACTGTTAAAAGTAGATACGAATGTGACAATTAATAAACTGCAGGCAGCCAGTCTGGCAGAGCTTCCAGAGCTGCCCACTAGCCAGCAGTGGCCCAGAGACAAGCAGGACTTGAAACATCAATTGGATCTTCAGTCTTGAGCTTCCCAGTCATTACAGCCTTTCCAAGGAGCCTTTTGGGACGACAAGAGGAGGACAGCTGCCATCCCCTAGGCCCACAATCGCACATCCTTCCCTCAGCTCAACCCTACATTAGAGCCCAGTGAAATGGCACCAGGGTTTTTCCTCTCCCTCTCTGGCGACAGCAAAAAATTTCCTCAAGAGGGGCCAGATCGACAGTCTAGACCCACATGCTTTCCCCAAAGGCCAAGTCCAGAAACCAGAAAGCAAGGGTGCAAGGCAAGGGCAAAAATAACCGTCAGGCTGTGGGTTACTACTCACCGGTCGAGGGTTGAATTTTCATGCTCTCGTAGTTTATCAATGACTGGCTGGATCCCAAGCATGAGAAATTCGTATCTCAGGTGGAGTCTGAAATCCAGGCTTTCCTGCAGGGGACAGTTGTGGGGTCAACCCAGCAAGGTGCACATCCTTGGAAACCTTACTGAAATAAAAACACCCAAACCCACCAAAACACCTCCCTCTCCAAGAGCCCTGGTGCTCACCACGCCTGCCCCTTGGCTCAGGACTGCGTTGATGAAGGACATGATGGCTGTCTTGAGGCTCACTTCATCCCGATACCGCCCCGTGCTCTTGTCCAAGTCATTGATCAGCGTCTGCCAAACACGCAATGTCAGTTAAACGCCCAGTGACAGCCCCAGTGCTGCACAAACGGCCAGGGGACGCATGCAGGAACAACTCATGGTGCTCCTACAGCCCCTGTAGCAACCCGCTGGTGATGGACCATTGGCTGTTGCCTGCTGTAATGCAGCCCATCCCAGCACCCATTTTGGCTAACATCAGCCTATCCAGATGTGCTACAGCCTTGCAGAGCTGCAATCCCAGTGACCTTGCAGAAGCAAGCACTTTTTTGGGGGGTTGCTGCCTTAAGTAACTGGTTCCTCACTCTTTTCTCAGCTGCAGACCTCATCAGACATGGTTCGGGAGTAATTCCCAGAGTATCTAACTTGCAAACAGCCATAATAGATCATTTGCAAGTGGCATTTAGATATCCAGGAGGAGGAAGGGACAAGAATGCTGAATTCTGGGAGCCAAGAGGCGAGTTGAGACCCACCTACCTGAAAACGAGTCCGTTCGCTGGCATATTTCTGGTAATGCAGCATCGCCTCCAGTACCTTTTTGTGGCCCCCGGGAACCAGGCACACAGCGCCCATGATTTCCAGCACTGCCACCTTCGTCTTAATATTCTCCGTGCTCAGACTCTGAGCGATTACGTTAATACTCTCCGAATGGGCCAGGACGTGAGCCCGGCCCAGGGAGTTGTTCATTAGTGCTTTTATACATCCAATGAGCGAGGTATGTATTCGAGACTCTGCCGTCTCATAGTCCATGCTTTTGAGAAAGTTCAGAATACACGACAAGCCATCCAGGTCGATGAACCGGGTTACAAACCTGCCAGAAAGAGGCTTTTTAGCTTTAAAACCAAATGCTGAAGGACCCTTTTAACCTCAAACAGGGCTGACTTGTCTGTTGTTGTAAACCCAGAATCTCCTTATCTATTTTTTCCTGGACTTTGGATACCAGAAAGCCTGCAGGCTTAGAGCACAGGGACAAGCTTGCGAAAATCTTAGCAATTTAATCGGTGCCTGGTAGCATAGGCAACCAGGCATCATCTGCACAAGGTTGTTCAGAGCTAGGGTATTTGGAAGAGGACCAGCTAACCCAGCTATCAGCACAAGCCCCAGGGTGGAGGTTAGGAGTTTGCAGCCACGCTGCTGCAAAACCTCCCCAGTCCCAACCTGAGTCTTAAATCCCACTCACTTGAGACCAGTTTTGCACAGGACTGGAAGAAACTCCCAAGTCCTGCTGTCACCTCCTCATCATCTGCAGACACCCCAACACCAGCCGAGCCCATGATACCTGTCAGACTTTCTGCCTCCTGCTACCTCTCCTGCCACCTCTCCTGCCTCACCACCCATATCCTCCGCCTCCCTTAGGCACATCTCACCAATTTTAAGGGATTTCTGATTTTTATGATGACTTATAATGCCACTAAATAGAAAGCAGAGAGCAAACGCATGGCAGCACCCCAGGCAGATTCACTAGAGCAGCCAGACATAACACTGCACACTGCTCATTTTAGGACCTCCCTGCCCAGTGCCATCCAGGCTGGGTGTATTCTGGTTTGGCAAAAGGCACAGGCTCGGAAAGCAAATGAGCCAAGAACATCCCAGCACTGGGATGATTTTAATTCGAAACAAGCCATGCTGATGCGCAGCAACAAAAGGGGTAATTGCAGGCTTGGGGAAAACTGATTTCTTTGCTTCAAAGCCTGCTCTTCCAGCCAAAGTCAACAGGAAATTTGATGTTCACTTCCCTGGGAGCAAAAGCAGGTCCAACAGGTAAAATTTTCTGTAGAGCCTGCTGAATCCTTCTGACTTGCAGTGAGACAGACTCACAAACCACTTTTAAGGACTTTGCAAAGTTTCATGGCTGGGTACCAGCCCTGCTCCCAGGGCACTGTGGGGAGCCAGCACCCAAGAGCTCCACGTTTCATAGAAATTGGGTGCTCACCCTCGACCCTGGGAATTTCTTACCAAGTACCATCACCAGAACCATTGCAAAAGAGAAATGGAAGAGGGGAATGTGTTTGCAAGCAAGAGCAAATTTGTTTCTTCCATAACCAGAACAGGTCATGCATTTCTCAATGAAACATTTTCCCATCAGAAAATGTTGACCTGAGGCATCTTAAAGGTTTTGCAGATGTGTGCATGCAGACTCCAGAGAGACTGAATGTAGGAAAAACTACAGACATTCAGAAAGAGTCCCACCCTTTCTTTATCTTCCCCATCAAAACCTCCTAGCAACATTTTTTTTTTGCATTTCATAAAAGCCTGAGGATTCATGTGATTTTATTCCTTTAGAAAGTGGAAGAGAAGTTGAAGTTGAAACAAAGGGCCTGGTCGACCAACAAAAATGTTTGTTGTTTTTTTTTTAAAATTCAATCTGGAAGGACTTTTTACATTCTGTTCCAATGAGAACAAAAGCAAATTTGAAAAAAAAAGAAGTCGCCTGATTTGCCTGCACATATGTGAAGGTCCTGGTGGCTCTCAGCCACTAAAAGGACTGAGGAAAAGGAACAAAATGACAAGAGGTGAATCGAAAAAAAGTAAGTGGTGTCCCAGGGTCCTTGTCTCCCTCGTCCTGTGCAGCCCCCATTTATATTTGTATTTAACCCCCTGCTCCACCACAGAACTCAAATCCAAAGCCATGACCGTGGCGATAAAGCCAGGAAACAGAAGGGAATTGCCTCATTGGTTTTGTCCGCAGTGCAGTCTTCAAACTTTCGATTGTTTTATTTCTCTCCTCCTCATCTTCTCTTTCCAAGGCGATCAGTGATTTTCTCTGCGAAAGGAGAAAGGCAGATGTGAGAGGGGAGGTTTCCCTGCAAAGCTCGTGCCCAAGGAGTGGGAGCGCCTGCTGCCTCACCGTGCCAAGCCGCGGGGATGGAGCTAGGACCCTAAACCGACTCTGGAAGTCTAAAAGGGCAGATCCTTATGGCAATTGCAGGACTCGGGAAAAGAGGCAGTTTGGAAAAACCCCTGCGGTCTGCAAGGAGATGGCCTGGGCTGGGGACAGCAGGGTGAACACATCGCTTTAGGCTGAAGACGCTGCCTGCAAGCACCCAGACAACTCACTAGCACATGTTTGGAGCATCACAAGTCAGCGACACCTGAACCCACATTGGCTTTGGAGCAGTGTTGCTGATGGCCTCGCATCTCCCCAGCCACTTGGGTTTTGTTTCAAAGCAGTGGGAAACAAACATTGGCCGGTGCTGAGCGAGGCTGCAGGAACCCAGTGCCCTCTTCTCCAAACTGGTCCTCATCCCCAGCAAGTCCTGGCAAGACACCAGGCTTCACTGCCCCGAGACGACGGGGACAGCTGGATCACCATCTTGAGAGGACACACTTAGCATTGTCCTGCATGATCATTAAGTTCCAGAATTAACGCCCTGCAGGTAGGAGTGGTGTCACCCCAAATTGCTGACCTGCAACTCATCCAGACAAGCCAATGTTGGAGAATGCTTGCGACTGTCCCCCTGCAACCCTCAGACTCAGAGCAGCGAGAGGGAAAGGCTGCAATTCAGGAGAGGAGCATCCCAACTCATGGGCTTGGAATGTAAATCCTGGCACATCCCCTACAGCCCATGACCCTCCCAGAAACACACTTTGTAAAACAAAGAGGTAAATAAGTGCATCACAGTATCCCATAAGAAAGTGTCTGGCTGAACTCTGCTCAGAGATGCTGCAGGTGACATCTGGGTGACATGAACCTTGACGTGTTTCCAGAGGACGATCCCAGGGCTGGAAAGGGCTGTGAGGATGCAGGGGGCTAAGCCAGTGCTAATGGGGGGGTCCACAGAGCGAAGGTGTGAAACTGGGACAGGGAGAAAGGAGAAGTCCTTTAGCCTCCCCTGGTACTCATGCATCCCAACAGGTACCTATGTGCCCCTGCAGAGGCGGCAGGGGGGCTCAGGGGATGCCCCGCAGCCTGGAGGGGATGGGATGCTGCAACCATGCTCGGGGTCAGCCAGGTGGATCCTGCCAACCCTGTCACTCTCAGGTCTCCCAGTGCAACCCACCAGTGTGCATCTGGGTTAGGGACAGTGGCTATGTGCACTGGATGCCCTTGGCATCTCCCACATTGGATTTCACTATCCAGCTGGCACTGGGGGCTGGGACCCTGATTCCTGCAGCTCTACCTGGGTAGCACGGCTGCCTGCAGCCCCGGGCATGCATGTGGTATGGCTTGCTCACCCCAACTCATGCAACCAAGGCCACAGCTAAAGCAACACCCCGGGTGCTTCCTGCACCATCCAACGCTGCTGGGCCCTCAGAGGTGTCAGAGTGAGCCCTGCCAGCACTGGCTGAGGCTAAGCCAAAGGAGAGAGACAGGGTCCCAGCAGATATAAAGAGCTGTGCTGACCCCCGCATGTAACCCAGCTCCTCTTTGGCAGTGTGTCAGGGAGATCAAAGCAACCCTCCAGGTACCTGGCAGGCTTTGATCACAAGCTCTGCTCAGGCTCAGGGCATCGTCTGGCCGGTCCTGGGTGTCCCTGCCTTCCCGGAGGCGAGCAGCACGCTCCCTCCTGGCTCGCAGCCCCTGCTTGCCGCTCTGTCCCTGCTCCCCCACCCAGCCCTACCTTCCCTGTCACCATGTCTCTGTGACAGCAGGGCAAAGAGGGGCAAAAAAAACCACAAACACTTTTCTTTTTCATTTTCCATGCTGCTCCCACCCCTTAGTGCAGTGGCCATGAAACTCAGCACCTTCAGCCTCTGAAAGCAGGAGTGAGGATGGAAGGGCTCTGAACTGCACAGCCTTGCAGGAAATGCAACTGTTTCCTACAGAAAACAGCACTATTTCTGTCTTGTCTGGCATGATGTTGACAAGAAAGTATTTCATAAAATTACACCTAAACACGCACGTCCCTCGTGGGACGGACAACCTGCAGCATTGTGTTTCACTGTGGCAGCCCAGCACAGAAGGGTGTCTCGGGAGCAAGATGGTAGCAGGCATCCATGAAAAAGCACAGGAGCTATCAGCTTCAAAGCAACCTCAGCAGCTTGGTGCCCCAGCAGCATTGCACAATCAAACGGGGTCTTTACAAACCAGCCTGCTGGCTTTATACCCAAGGCTGCTGTTTGTCATCCATCTTGCAGCCTCCCAGACCGGGGCAAGATGAAATGCCCTTCCTGCCATAGAGAACACCTCCATTTTCCAGCTGTATCTCTTGGTCTAATGGAGGATATCTTTAAATCTTTACATCAGGGGTTTCTGAACTGCTGGGACAAATTGCAAGCTACTGCCAGCTCCAAATTCTTGAGAGGTCCGCAGACCCGAAAGGCTGAAAACAGCCAGGTCACAACTTTGTGGCTACAACACTTGTCGCCCTCTCAGGTGCGATGCTGGCTGTGCTGCAGACTGTAACCGCTGTGCTGCTGCCCCATACGGGGTCCACAAGTACCAAAGCGTTGGGGAAACACTTACAGCAGCCATTGAATTCAGCTGATCGATATAAAACTCCGGCCAGCTGGTGGCTCCTTTATTTTCTTCCTGGTCCTGGATGGAGGGTGGAAAAAGTGAAACAAAGACAGCAGATTAGTAGAAATAGCATTGACATCCCCTGCCCTTCATGACCAAGCACCTCTGAAGCACCCTTGAGCTCTTGCATTACTTTATATCAAATTAAGCTTGACTTCCTACATTCTGAGCTTACCACTGACAGCTCCAGCTATGGGAACATTACCTGATTTATTGAACTAGCATATTTTATATACAATCTACGTTACACCATCTGCCTGTGACCAAAACTCTGCCCCAATGATACTGTATCAGTCTTGTGGTTATCAGCTTCAGAGAAAACACACTGAAATTTTACATCCAGATTTCTCTTGTACCGACTCTTACAGTGCCCTTGAAGTTTGGCTGCACAGCTTTGATGAATGTGCTCTGGGGGGAAAAAAAAAAGAGTCTCTTACAAGTAATGAAGAGTGAATAAATGTGACGTGAACTAGGTTCCACTCTTGGAGCAGGACCATGACTTACCCCCATCCTAAGAGAGACTCCAGACACAACAGACAACTCCCCTGGGGGCTTCATTAGTTGTTAGGAGGGAACATGCACTTGGCAATGATGTCCCCTGTTAAAGGATGTCACCCCTGGGCCCATAATCTATGACAATGAATGATGCAGAGCCTCATTGGGTCATCCTTGTCTACAATGCCCTGCATCTGGTGGGACTCACAAGGGGTTTTCAGGTTCTACCATGTTCTTGTAGGACATGACTGAAGGACCTCTGAGCCCAGCTCGGATAAATAACACTGCATGTCCCCAGGGACTGCGTGGAGCAAGTAGGCAGATTTTGAGGGAATACTTCAAAATCAAACCTTTTCCCCACTGTATTTTCCTAAAAACTTATATCAAAAGAAGAAAAAGGATTCACAGCAGAAATGCCACACAGGTCTAGGCTGGAGTTAACCGATACTATGCAAATCCCAGACATCTTCCCTCGGTAACCATCTTCAGTTCACAGCCTGACTTGCTGCATGGCTCTGCCCTCTCCTTAACTTTAAGAGATGTTTGCAAATGTCATCCTACACCGCAATTGCCTGTGATGGTGGGAGCTGGATGACCTACTCTTCTGCCTCCATGTCTGTGCATGCAGACAACTACCGATCCTCTGTCTGATTTCAGCAAGCCCAAGGAGCAGAGTCCCAAATATTTACTGCGGTTCAAGAGGCATGTGTGGGAAATGTTTGTGCATCCAAACTTCCCAAGCTGCAGCTTGCCAAGATGAGAACACACGGAGTCAGCGACAGGTGATTTGGACAGGACTCAGTTCCCCCACGGGCAGTGCAGCCCATCCCTGCAGACCTGACCCTTCGCTGTGCCTGGATCCAGGATGGGGACAAAAGAAGTCTGAGAGGAACAAGGGACCTGGCAACCCCTGCCCTAATAATTCTGGTTATTCTCCCCTCCTTCTCCTGCCAAGAACCAAGGTTTTGAATGAAACACTTGATTCACCTGCCCTCCACATTTAATTTTTTTTTAAGCAAGAGGGAATCAGCAGAGAGCAAGATTTTTTCTGAGATGATGTTAGAAAAACAACAAAAAAATCTGTCCTACCTATGCTAGTGCCAAACCTAATAAACCTGAAGGAGGTCCCACTGCCTGCCTCTGCATGGATGGAGGACCATTCATAGTCATACTCTGACAACTAGTTTTTGCCAGCAACAAATAAAACCGTCCCCATACTGTCCAAATAGTGTTTAAAATAAGAGAAATGCTCATTTGCTGGCTGAGTGTGCAACACCCAGCCTGATGGGGAGAGACAGGGATGCCTTTGGTCTTTTCACACCAGGAAAAATGGGATGCGCTGGCTTCTCTCTGCTTTCCCCTCTCCCAAAAACTCGCCTCCGGCAAAGGCAAGAGGACGGAGGGGCAGAGATCTCTTGCTGTCCGCTGGCAAACAGACTGAGTGAAGCAATCCTCTCCAAATAACCCAGGGACCGTCCGGCTGCCCATCCTGCCACATTTCTGGCCACATCTGGGACCACGTACAGGGACTGTCACCAGCCAGCATCAAGTCTGGCCACCTGAAGCCATGGCCAGGGGGAGGTTTCCACTGTGGCGGGGGAAACCCAATGCCTTTCTCAAGGGGCTGGGAAAAGGACACCCATTTGCAGCTGTCTGGTGGGTCAGAGCTTCCCACCGCCAGATTGTGCAGAAAAGCACCTGCCGTGCCTGCAGGAATCCTGGCAGCCGGCATGTCCACTGACACACAGTTTGCCGAAAGACATCCAGGTTGTCAGAAAGATGGTCAGGAGCACAGAGAAAGTGTCAGGGGGCTTGAGAAACAGAGGTGTAATTTATATTTATGAGTTGAGCGGGAAGGCACAAATTATACCACCACCTCTCGCAGAGCTGAAGGAAGATCTTCTGCTTCTCCTGAGCGGGGTGGGAAAAGTAAACCATCATATTTTGCAAAGTATTTTGTCACCCTAGGGAAACACACATTATTTCTGCAACCTGTGGGTCAGAGCTGTCAGTTTAACCCAGGTGGGACCACCAGTCCCCAGGAGCAAGGTGGGAGCAGGATACGGGGGAACTGCCCATGGCCAACCACCATGGCGATGTGGGGATGTGAGGTCAGGCTGCACCCGATGGCAGGTTCAATCTACAGAGCATCACCTGGATTATTTTCCTGCAATCAAAGGGCAGTTTCTTGGTGCTAGCCCTATTCAGTGCTGCCCACCTGTCCTGCTGGATGATCCCATGGTCCATCAGTGGTGCCAGGTACCTGGGTTGAGGCTCAGGCCACCTTCCTGCACAGTAACAATCCTATCTGACACAGGCAGCCAGGTCTTTCTGGTTTCTCAGCTCACATTGTATACCTTCCTAAAGGACACTCCCATCAGCTCCTGTGTGCAAAAGCACACCCCTCCCTGGTACCTACAGCCCTACACGGCACACCATCTATCTGCACCAGAAACAGGAGAGAGCATGTACACGTGGTGGAAGCACTAAAGAAGAAGGGAGGGATGCTGGGGAGCCACAAGCCCCGTGCATGTCTGCAACCCGCCCCTCCGAGCCATCCTAAGCTCTGCTGCAGGAAGGCTCTGCACAAACCCTGCAAAGCCTGCGGGCAAAGATTGTGATTTTCCCAGCTTTCCTGCCCTGCTTTAAAGGCTGGCATGCAAATGGTGCCCTGGGGGATGGTGGAGCCATGGCACCCACATGTGCCTTGAACATGGTCCAAAAAGGGACCAGCTCCTGTCACCTCCTGGAGATGTCACTGGAGGTCCTCCCCACCACCCCAGGGTACCGTCAGCACCTCTTATAAAGAGCATCCCTCTCCCACCAGTGGTCCCAGCAGTGACACCAGCTGGGAAGGGTGCTGAGGTCCCCATCACTGCACAGCACCAAGAGATGATAGGCTGTACCCAGCCATAAGATTTGGGCAGGGAACAAGACCCGTGCCGAGGAATGGGGTGGGAAGGCAGCGGGGCCGGCTCATCCCATATCCTCCCAGGGCCTTTCCACATGGTGCAAACACCTGCGAGGCGGGCAGGGATCCGGACCTGCTGCTCATTTAAGGCTGAAAGGAAGCGGTGGAGCAAAAAAATAAAGGTCTCCAGGGGAGCAGAGGGGAGGCTGAACAACAAAATTGGCTAAACTGCTCATTTATAATTAACGTGCTGCATTATAAATATTTCCCTTTGCTCGGCTCCCTCGGGCTCTTGCATTTCCTCCCTGAAACCCCCAATTTAGAGAGAGCTCTCAATTAAATGCAGCAGAACCTCATTAATTCAGATGAGCAGCCGGGCAGGCTCGTCCAAAAGCAGCTTCCCAGGCAAAGGGGGACTGAACAATAAAGCAGGCAAAGATCAGGGCATGGCCTTCCCTCGGCTCACTGCAGGACGTTGCAGAGTGGTAATTACTGCAGCTAATGGTCTACGGCACACTAGTAAGTGTCCTTTAGTGTGTTGGGTGGTAAAGAAATCTCCCAATAAAGCAATGAGCCCAGAGGGAAGTGACTCACAAGCCTTCGCTCAGAGCCAGGAGGAGGGAGAAACCTCTCTGGGCATCACAGTTTGAAAGGGTGAATTTTGTAAGATGGTTTCCCAGCACCCAGGGTGGATTTTGGGGATGTGAGTTTTGCAGCCTGCCTTCAACAAGGGATGCCCAGATGCAGAGCTGAGTACTGCCAACATCAGCTCTCCAGGATGCTCTATCATATCCTCCCCAGCTGGCACTGGGGAAACGAACATCTCCCAATTCCTTCTTCGCTGGGCGGCGCTTAGGTCTTTGCTGTGTCTGCTCTCAAGAAACACAGAAGTGAGGGCTGATCTGAACCCTGCTGACAGCCCGGTGCCGTGCTGTGGCTTACTATGAGCTGTTCTTTTAGAGGCAGGCTGACGGCTGTAATTGCACAGTGCAGGGACGGGTATCCCTTCTCATCTGTAACATTAGCATCAACATCCCTCGTTGTCCTCCAGGAAGCAGCCCTGACATGCCACCACATACATGCTCTGCTGCAAAAATTAGGAAACGCCAAAGTCGTGCAGCCAAGGGTAATCTTCCGTGCCCCCCTTCGTTCCCACCCGGTCACCCCAACACCCACTTCTTCCTTCCATGGACCTGGCAAAAATACAAATCACATCAGCTGTGGCCCTGGCATTGCTGTGCCCTCTCCTCCCTCACCCCTTTGCCCCCAGGCTCCATGCGTCAGGCTGATGGATGCTGCTGCTCGGCTGTTCCACACCACGGTGCCAGTGGTGCGGGGGTGTCATGGTGTGAACCTGATGAACAAGCTCCATCCTCTCTGTCGGTGCCGGGTGCCACGGGGAAAGCAGCGCCCAGTCAAGATGCCTCATTAGCGGGAGCTTTTCCAAGCGAAGGTCACCAATCTGCCAGCTCCAGCCATCCCTTTGCTCTTCCTGGGGAGATTTCATGCTCCCCAGCCCTGCCACGTCTTGGTTACAAGCCTGACAGTTCCACAGCCCATGTGCCTCCCCCTCGGGGTGTCGGCAGCTCCCACAGCCAGAAGTGCCCTTGGT